CATAAAGGACTATTCTTTTTTTTTTTTTCGGTACAAACGTTTTAAAGGACTCGAACATCCACATTGACAAAGAAAATATGAACGGCGGCGCTTGTAACTTCCCAGAAGTTCATAAGGTAATGCACTGACATGTTTGTTAAGAAGCCTTTGATTTATCAGAGATCTGTAACATGAATAAGAAAGAAACACAGACCGCGTTAAGGACAAATTATTAGATGATTCCAATGTGTTCCTTCCTGTGGTATGAATGATCTGCTTGCATACCGGTGTATTGTATATGGATGCTCTGTTCATTCGAATGACATTATAACATAAAGGCCGATTCAGGCGCTCCGTTAAAAAGGAGCGAAATAGTAAACGAGCACGATAATGGCGGAGGAGTAAAAATCGAGGGAGGTTTGGACCCGAGCCGACCCAAGCCTCTCTCGCTTTTTCTCCTCTGCTACTATCGCGCCAGTTATCTACTTCACTCTGTTTAACTAAATTGACGCCTGGAAAAGGCTCTGCGACCAGCAGGAGCTTGTCGTTCTGACTCTTGTCGAGTCATCATGGTATAAATTTACATCTTCGCACAGCTGTACTTATGTAACAGGACGTGTGCGGTTATATTTTGCGCTATAACTCCGTCCAGAGAAACAGTTCCGCAATCCTGGAAATTTTTAATCTTGAACTCAAGTCGTCATTCAGAAAAAAAAAAAAGGCAACATCACCACAAGAAAACTGCAACAACTCACATAATGTAGCTCGTGCAATAGCTTACATTTAAGTTGCCAATCGGCAAAAAAGGAAACTTCTTCTGAAGAACACTTCATTTAGTAAGAATAGTGCACTTACAATTGTAAGTAATCTTTACAATGAAACTCTCCTCCTCTCTTAATGCCTAATTCCAAAACCCTATTCTCCCTTACGACTCTGACAAATATGATTAACAATGCGAATCAGCAGAGACAAAAGAGAGATTTAGCACCGCGTTTACGTGGAACGAGAACTGCAAGAGTGACCACGTGATCTTGTTGTTCCCGCAATTTTTTTTCACATTTGCCTGTTGCGCTTTGCCATTTCTACTTGAAGGTAACCTGTTTTGCGTTTGCTTTGTATGTAAGATTTTCTTCACTTTTTCTCTCACAAAGTAGAAGTTGATTGACGGAAAAAGAGCACCAAAACTATTCCTCGTAGGTCATACAAGGGCGCCTTCAATTCCACCGTGACGTGAGCTCACGCGAAGCTAAAGAGCAAAGGGCAAGCTGGCGTTTGCCGTGTCACGTAAAAGCGGTGCTATATCTCTCTAATATCTACTCTTTAACATGATACAAGATAACTAGACCTAACGCAAAGCACGTTAGAGATGATAAGATTACAATAAATAGGAATACCGTATATTTGTCCCATTTCTTCTCTGGATCGTAAGGTTCCCATCGACTGGCGGGGAAAATATGTTTATTCCTCTCGTACCATGAACGGAGAACAACTTTCCCTGCATGTGACTGAAAAAAA